AAATTAGAATTTAAGTAATATAAGTTATTCTTAATAAAAGTTGTATTAAGAATTATGTCTCTTCATTTTGATAATCCCACACCTCTAGCTTACGCGGAACCGGCAAGACATGGTCATCACAGGATGGCTATGTCTCATAATTATCCATTTAATTATTACTAATCAGTAACTGATATTGCTCATTAAGTAGTGATTTGCTTCCATTTTGTTATTTGTACGCAGTTAAAAACAAATATCACGTATTTTTTTTATCTTGTAGTTGTTTTTCATGATTAATTTTATTATTTTAAAGAATTCACCTTATTTGTTCTTGCAAATTAATACCCAGTGTTATTTTTCTTGCATTTCACTACCATAACAAGTGATGTAAATCGTGCTATGTAATGATATGTGATAAATGAAAGAGAGAAAAATTGATTTTAAAGTATCTACTCTAAAAGCTTAACAGGTTTGTACATTTAAACCATGAAATTTATTTTACATAGTACAGTTCAACTTGTAAAAATCAATTATTTGAGAGAAAAGTAATTGAAACTTATTTTCGCATTGCTATAATCCTCAGGGTATATACTTACTCAATAAAATTCTTTTTTTTTTAAATAATTTTTTTTTTTACTTTAAAGGTTTAGTTCTTTTTTTTTACTGATAATAAATGCGCCTTGGGAATTTGAATTGCAAGAAAAAAAATAATCGAATTCCTACGTTAATTAGCCAATTAACATTTAATGATCGTATTAGCACGTTTCTTTAACTGTAATTATGCGATTTCTAATTAGTATTAAAAAAGCAATTTCTCTCAGTCAGGAAGATATTTCAAGAGTTTTTGACCCGGAGAAATCATGTGCAGGAATAAAAAAGAAGTTTTTTTTTATTTTACCACGATTTAACTTACAAACAATACAAGATAAATATGTTTTTATAGAAGTATTTACATTAAAATTTAGAAGTATAGAATTGCATTTATATACTAATTTTTTTTATCAGATTTTACACCAGTGAAAAATATATGTTATTAACAATTACATTTCAGTAACAAAGGTTTCTTAATTGATAAATATTCCTGAATAAAAACTAATACTATTTGCTAAGTTTTTCAGAAAGTGTATTCCATGTCTAAGGATAAAACTATAGCAAGTTCTGAATAAAATTAAGCTAATTATATTATACAGTCAAACCTCCATATAACGATTCTCTATTTTGCGGATGTTTCGATTTAGTTAACTTTTTCCTGGAACCACAAGAAAGTTTTACTATTTCTTTCTTAAAATAACCTCCAAATAGCGAAGTGCATTTTCTATTTAACAAACTTTTACTCTTGTAATTCAATTTTTTTCTCCCTATTTTTAAAATACTTCAGGACGTTTTTCAAATTATTCTCTCTTTTAACACATTTTATGGGGATCCATGGCCTTGAACTGGTTTTACCAGGTGTCTAACTTATCTAAAGCAATGAAATTGACGTAGTGTTTCAAACAAAACACAAGTAAAATGAACAGATTTTATCAATAATTAAATTTAAAGACAAATGTAAGCTTAAAATTATTGGTTATAAAATAATTTATGTTTAAGGTATCCGACTACGTTCGGAACCGTGAATTTAAAAAAGCACATAAAAGGATAATTTTCATGTTATTCAGTGTCACTTAGATTATAATACATGTATAAAATTGTTTTAAGGACATTGTGACAAAAAAATTATTTAAATACAATATTTCGGCAAAAAATTAACTTAGAAAAATCTTTTTTCAAAATGTTCTACTTTTGTGAAAAATTCTTCTATTATAATAATATTTTGCCTGTATTCAGCTCAGACCTCGGTACAGAGGCTCAACTAGAGTTTTTGAAATGCATAACTTAGAAGTCGATTTATTCATATTTTACGAAAACAGAAGGGAGACATTTTAAGAAAATACGCCGAAAATTATTTCAAGTGGTTATAACTCTGAAAATAATGTGAATTTTTTAAAATTCATACCTGAGCCTCTGTAGAGAGGTCTGAGCTACATACAGGCAAAATATTAATACAATAGAAGTATTTTTTACAAAAGGAGAACATTTTGAAAAAAGTTTATTCTAAGTTAATTTTTTGCCAAAATATTGTACTTAAATATTTTTTTTGTCATAATAGCCTTAAAATAATTTTATACATGTATTCTAATCTAAGTGACAAATATATCATGAAAATTATACATTTATGCGCTTTCTTAAAATCATGGTTCCGAACGTAGTCGGATAACTTAAAATTACTTGTAGGCTTAAAATTAGAAAATGTCATCAAAAAATTCATTAATTTTGATATAAAATTATTTTTTAAAGTTGAAAATACAGTGTTTTCCTAGATAATGTTTTTTTCTCTTTTTCTCTCAGCAGATTTCTTTTTGTTGGGCCAAATATATAAAATGAATCGATATTAATTTTCAAAAAAAAAAAAGGATGAATAATAATTTTTTTAAATAATATATAGTGCTTATGAATTTAAAA